TCTCATATTCATCCTTATAATATGATTGTGTGGTATCTAATGCACAGTTTATCATGTCATGTGTCTTTGGAAGGCTCATGATGTACTGAGCATTGTTGTTATGGTAATGTTATAGTAATTCGTTGTTATAGTAATGTTACAGGTTGTAATTTCATGTATATAGTTATGAGGCTGAAAATGTGTCCTCAAGGCTTAAAGCAAGCCCAGGCAAAAACTCTCCAGGAGCAGAGGGACAGTTCACACCTCATCAGGGCATGTATGGGACAAACCCAGCCCAGCCTCACAGGAACAAAGAACACTGGCCAAGGCAACAACAAAGGATCTGTTGGACTCTCGAGTGAGTCACCCCCTTCTTTTGGTCAGTTTGGGACTGTGATGAGGTAATGCTCACCTCACTCTGAAGAGGGGGGCAAAGCCAAGAGGGAAGAAAGGACATGATAAAAGGGAGAGTCATGCTTCCTCTCTCTTCCACCTCCATCTACAGACATCACCACCAAGCGACTGAAGCCTGGCTGAAGGGCAACCAGTCAGCCTGTGGTGAGAAGCATCTAAGTTTGTAAGGGCACTGAAAGTGTTAAAATCAGTTTAGGATGCATTTTGCTTTTATTTCATTTCACCAAATCTGACTTGTTATGCTTTGACTTATAATCACTTAAAATCTATCTTTGTAGTTAATAAATCTGTTTGTTTATTCTACCTGAAGAAGTGTATTTGATTTAAAGCATGTCAGAGATTCCCCTTGGGATAACAAGCCTGGTGCATATCAATTTCTTTGTTAAATAGACGAACTCATATAATCTTGCAGTGTCCAGCGGGCATAACTGAACACTGCAAGAAGGAGGTTCCTAGGGTTGTGTCTGGGACCAGAGATATTGGCTAGTATCATTCGGTTCCTCAATCCAAGGAGCAGCTTACATGCCAGAGACTGTGCGTGAACAGTCCAGGAGTGGGGGTTCTCACAGCAGAGCAGGGTAAGACTGGCTCCCAATCGAGGACTGGAGTGACCCAACAGATAACACCAGGGGAAAGTCACAGTGGCACAGCAAGTAGGTGTTTGTACAGCTTGTTACTCCAAGTGGAGTTCACACTTTAAGAACTGATATTTGTGATTTTAAGTGAGTCTTAAGTGCAGTGGCTAAGAATGGTCAGGAGGAGGTCACAATTTTGTTATTTTCTGTTTGTTTATTTTGGATGAGGGAAATAAGCACAAGAAAGCAGAAAAATGACTACCAGTAAGGCAGCTACAAAAAGTAGAGCTGGCCAGACTGGAAGCTGCAGAGAAGGAAAAGGACCACAAGTGTCATATGTGGCAGGCAGAAATGAGGCTCAAAGAAGCAGCTGCGACCAGGGAAACTATGGAGACAGAAGCAGCCAGGGAGGAGGCTGCACACAGAAGGGCCGTGGAAGAAAAACAGAGAGAGAGAGAAAAAAGAGAAAGAGAGTGAAAACACCAACTGGACCTGCTAGAGAAGCAGAACTAGAACCCTCCGACCCCAATGACTCCCATCACTCCAAAAATCCACAAATGGGAACACTTCTGTCCTGATGATAAGAGAGTTCCTATCCTAACTGCAAAATTAAATGGAAAAGCTTGAAATGTATTCATATATTTATAGATATTAAGGTCAGAAGGGACCATTATGATCATCTAGTCTGACCTCCTGCACAATGCAGGCCACCGAATCTCACTCACCCACTCCTGCAATAAACCTCTCACCTTTGTCTGAGCTACTGAAGTCCTCAACTCATGGTTTAAAGACTTCAAGGTGAAGAGAATCCTCCAGCAAGTAATCTGTGCCCCATGCTGCAGAGGAAGGTGAAAACCCCCCAGGGCCTCTTCCAATCTGCCCTGGAGGAAAATTCCTTCCCGACCCCAAATATGGCAATCTGGCTGGGCAAGATTCATCAGCCAGATACCCAGGAAAGAATTCTCTGTAGTAACTCAGATCCCACCCCATCTAACATTCCATCACAGGCCATTGGGCCTATTTACCATGAATAGTTAAAGATCAATTAATTGCCAAAATCATGTTATCCCATCATACCTTCTCCTCCATAAACTTATCAAGTTGAATCTTAATTCAATGGAATGCCTATTGAAGATGCTTTAGACTATTGTAAATTTAAAGATACTGTTTTGCGAAGTTTTCAGATTATCCCTGAAACATATAGAGTTACATTTAGGAATCTTAAGAGGGATATTGGCATGAATAATGGGAAATATGTAAACAAAATGAAAGATTTGTTGGGAAAATGGGTGAGGGATAAAGAGGTGGTAAGTTTTGAGGGAATGTTGATCTTCTTGTTCAGGAGCATTTCCTAAGCATATGTAAGGCTGATGTAAAGCAGTGTCTATGGGACAAAGATGTAAAGTCTGTGGCTTTTTTAGCTGATGCCTTCTAACATCAACTGAGGCATCAATTGAGGGCAGGCCACAGAAAAGGGGGGTTAAAACTGGTGGGAAGGGAGGATCCCATTTTGCCCCTGAGAAAAGAGAAGGGGGTTGGGAGTCTAAACATTCTCTTACCCCAAAACATTCCTCCAACCCTCATCCCAAATCTCCTGTGAAAGCAGAAGAGCCCAAAAGGTGCTATCAGTGTAATTCCACTGATCACCTGAGGAATACACATCCTGTGCTAAGAGGAAGCAGGCAACCAATAGCTCATGTTAGTTCTGCTGTCCTCAACACAGAAACTCCCCCAAGCAATTGAAATCTATCATATTGGTTTTGTGAGGTTAGCCTCTGCAGAACCAGATATCGAGCATATTAAGGCTGTCCAAATGAATGGCAAGGAGTACTTGGGGTAGAGGGATACAGGGGCCCAGATCTCTCTGGTTAAGCAGAGTGTAGTCCTAAAGGCCAGTGTGCTACCTGGCCAAATGGCAGAGATTGTGGGGGTGGACGAAAGCATATTCCTTGATTACCATGTGGTTTGGGAAGGTTTGGAAAGTGTTTTGACTGTGGGGGTAATAGAACACCTCCTAGTCAACCTGCTCCTTGGTAATGATTTTTTCCGTGTAGCTCAGGTTAAAGTATTTGCCTGCCGCAGGAGGGAGTTTTATGCTGAGATCCCCGAAGGAAAGGGTAAGGTCTCAGGAACTGCTGAGAGAATGGGAGAGAGTCTCCTTGATTCTTCTGCAGCAGGGAGAAGCCACATCCTTCCAGGTGGGAGGGTGGTTGAGACCAACTCCTGCACCGCAGCTGGAGGCAACACCACATCAGGAAGGGATGGGAGTATAATGCCTGCCATGGAGAGAGCTGTCCAAGTTGCTAGCTGCCAGCAGGTCGCAGCTGAACCAGAGACAAACCCGCTCTAGGGAGCATAGAGAAATGTGTCCCAGAGGAGAGCCCAGAGAAGGGGCAGGGAATCCAAGAAACCACCGAGGTTGGTGAGGAATCCTGTGACTTCCAAGTATGGGAGGCAGTGTGCTTCCAAGTATGGGAGGGGCTGAGCCTAGCTCCTTTCCAGCAGAAGGCAACATGCCCTCAAGCACAGGGGCAGGAGAGGTGTTGTCAGGGATTAAGGAAACTGTCCCAGTTGTTAGCTGGCAGAGTTCTGCAGCTGAACAAGAGATAGAACCCTTCCTAGGGGCACAGAGAAATGTGTCTTAGGAGGGGGCCCAGAGGAGAAAACTGGGAAAGGAATAGTGGGGGTACAGGAATGTCTCTTCACTAGTCACTTGGGGCAGGATGCCCAGGACATTAGGAGGATGGCTGGGTCAGCATCTGTGCACCCAGTCACTCCACCTGTGACCCAGGTTTTGAGAAGCAACTGTGTAACTGACCTCCTGGAGGGGAGCAGTCACACAGCTGACGTCTCACAGAAAGGGGTGGTGGAAGGTACCCCAATCCAGATCCCAGTTTTTCAGGATGCTATTTCTGATAAGTTTTTGGAAAGTAACTGTGTCTCTAAATCAAGATGCAGCTCCAATGTGTGTGATAACAGAGGAGTTGGGACCAGAAAATTGCCAGGTGGTAGTTTGCCAGAATGCGAATGATCCAACTGACAGAGAAGGAGGTGTTTTCCCCCAGGCTGATGAGACAGAGAGCAGTTATGGGAAAGCTGCTGGGAAAAAGTGAATCTGATCAAAGGGTAAACACACCTAGCCCAGAGAGCACAGATCAAAGCCCTCTAGGGGGCAGGGAGGGACTCAGTGCTGCAGGTAGGGGAGAAACAGAGGGTAACCCCAAAAGGGGAGCTGGATTTTCTGCATATCTACAGTCCTGGGGTTGGGAGACGGCTCCCCAAAGGGCCAGCCAATGTGCAGGATCCCCCTGAACACCTATCTTGCCAGACCCTAGGCACCAAAATTCCAGAAACATGATTAAATTAAGAGCCCACACAGAGGGGAACACTGGAGGGAAAGAAAAGCCAGTGACTGATTACATGGGACAGAGTCAAAGGACACTATGGGTAATGAACAAACTAACCTCAAACTACACTATCTGAACAGAGGACGTACTATCATAAAGACACTTAGAAACGCACATCTGAGATAAAAATTTTGGTATTAATGTTAAGTTTTGGGGATAAGAATTTTGACACGGATGTTAAACCTTATGATAATGCTACTTTTCAGTTAATACCTGTAAACGGATTTAAAGCTTATCACAGCAGAGAAACCATAAAAAACCTGGTTTGCTGTGTGTGAATGGGGAAACTGAGGCACACTGTCTCATGGCCTTAATGGCTGGATGCCAAAAGAACTATAACACAATCTGGGAAAGGGAAGGGAAAATTAGCTGGATGTTTCTATTAAAACAATCAGCAGTGAAACAGTGAACAGGGTTGATGTTTAAAGCATCATTTTTATGTTTCAAAGTCAATACCCACTGAGCTAGACGGGTCAGTTCACATGTCTCGGTGCTAATCAGAAATGAGTTGGACTAATAGGAATTTAGCAGGGAGGTATTTTCCAAGTGCTGCTGCCGGGCAGTAGGTATATTTTTAGAAGGATCTGATTGGTCTGATGGAAGAGATTAAAGAAATCCCACCTACCTTTTTTGGAGAGAAAACACCCAGCGTGCCTCCATCTTCTCTCATGGCCACGCCCATTTCTGCCAGCAAAGCTTCCCTGAGCAACAGCAAAAGCAAAAGTCTGTCAAAACAACCTGTGTTGTTAGTTTTTTGCATCAGAGCAGCCCCTAGAGAAACCAACTGAGATCAGGATCCCACTGTGCTAAGGGCTGCACAGACACAGACCCTGCCTCAAAGCGCTCACAGTTCAATTGGAAACAAGGCGAATCAAGTGGAAGGAGGAGGGCAAAGATGGAGGAGGGTAACCATGAGAGGAACATATGTTTACACAGACTAGCTATGGGCTTTGTTAGATATTTGTACAGTGCTTAGGAAAATGACCCCCATCATGAGAGTTCAATTAAACAATTACATCAATAAAGAATATTAATGATTTCAGTAATTCCATTTCCTTGAAGCCCTCTAAATTAAGGCAGACATTCCATTTATAATATTTAGCTAGTGCCAGCTATTTGAGGATCTCAAAGTGTCTTATAAATGTTAATGAAGTAAGACTCAGCTGTGAAGCAGGATAGTACTATTAGCTCCGTGTTACAGATGAGGGAAATCAAGGCAGAGAGAGATTAAATGTTTTATAGGAGGTCATGAAGAAAGCTTGTAGACTGATGGATTCACCAAGGGAAGGTCATGCCTGACTAATCTAATCGCCTTCTATGATGAGATTACTGGTTCTGTGGATGAAGGGAAAGCAGTGGATGTATTGTTTCTTGACTTTAGCAAAGCTTTTGACACGGTCTCCCACAGTATTCTTGTCAGCAAGTTAAGGAAGTATGGGCTGGATGAATGCACTACAAGGTGGGTAGAAAGCTGGCTAGATTGTCGGGCTCAACGGGTAGTGATCAATGGCTCCATGTCTAGTTGGCAGCCGGTATCAAGTGGAGTGCCCCAAGGGTCGGTCCTGGGGCCGGTTTTGTTCAATATCTTCATAAATGATCTGGAGGATGGTGTGGATTGCACTCTCAGCAAATTTGCGGATGATACTAAACTGGGAGGAGTGGTAGATATGCTGGAGGGGAGGGATAGGATACAGAAGGACCTAGACAAATTGGAGGATTGGGCCAAAAGAAATCTGATGAGGTTCAATAAGGATAAGTGCAGGGTCCTGCACTTAGGACGGAAGAACCCAATGCACAGCTACAGACTAGGGACCGAATGGCTAGGCAGCAGTTCTGCGGAAAAGGACCTAGGGGTGACAGTGGACGAGAAGCTGGATATGAGTCAGCAGTGTGCCCTTGTTGCCAAGAAGGCCAATGGCATTTTGGGATGTATAAGTAGGGGCATAGCGAGCAGATCGAGGGACGTGATCGTTCCCCTCTATTCAACATTGGTGAGGCCTCATCTGGAGTACTGTGTCCAGTTTTGGGCCCCACACTTCAAGAAGGATGTGGATAAATTGGAGAGAGTCCAGCGAAGGGCAACAAAAATGATTAGGGGTCTGGAACACATGACTTATGAGGAGAGGCTGAGGGAGCTGGGATTGTTTAGCCTGCAGAAGAGAAGAATGAGGGGGGATTTGATAGCTGTTTTCAACTACCTGAAAGGGGGTTCCAAAGAGGATGGCTCTAGACTGTTCTCAATGGTATCAGATGACAGAACGAGGAGTAATGGTCTCAAGCTGCAGTGGGGGAGGTTTAGATTGGATATTAGGAAAAACTTTTTCACTATGAGGGTGGTGAAACACTGGAATGCGTTACCTAGGGAGGTGGTAGAATCTCCTTCCTTAGAGGTTTTTAAGGTCAGGCTTGACAAAGCCCTGGCTGGGATGATTTAACTGGGAATTGGTCCTGCTTTGAGCAGGGGGTTGGACTAGATGACCTTCTGGGGTCCCTTCCAACCCTTATATTCTATGATTCTATGATTTGGTGCCTTACCAACAAGACCATCCACCTCTTCCTTTTGGAGGGCTGATCACTGTATTGAAATGGTTGTACGGAGACATTATCTTCTCTTTCTCTCATCTCATTCATTTCTAAAATGCACCTGTCCCCTCACCTCTGACTGCCTCCGGAAAAGGGGCTATGGACATTGTGACAATGCACTCCATAATGTTTTATGGAAATATGCTTATTAGTGTGAATATAATGTAACTGGAATATGCTTTATGCAAAAGATCTCTTGTAAGATATAATTACAAAGCTTATAATCTACTGAGTGTGTTCATCCTATTTGTATGAATGTATCATTCTGGTATCTGAAACTAGGAATATGAAGTATAACTCTGAGGTCCTACTGTAATTATGCAAAGTGTGGGCCATTAATGGTGGTTTGGAAGCTTGATGGCTCCCATTGACTAGGACAATTGGTTGTAAGTGGTATGTTTACTTGCAAACCTTCCTGAGTGCATGTGGGCCCGCCCTGGAAGAATGGAGGCAAGGGTCTCACAGGACATGTGAACATGTCACCTGATACTGGAATCCATCTTAAACCTGGTGCTTTTCCATTTAGAAGGAGGGGTGGGGACCCAGAGAGACAAAATATTCCCGCCTTGTGCCAAAGTTATAAAAGGGGGCGAACAGAACAAAAGGGGCTGCCAGTCATGAAAAAAAACCCTAGTTTTCACCTAAGATGTCTACAGAAACTAACAAGGACTGTACCAGGGAAAGGATTGGGCCCAGACTAGGAAGGAGTCTAGTCTGTGAAAGAAGCTTATTGGAACATCTCTGAGGGTGAGATTTTCCCCATAATCAGTCTCTTAATGTATTAGGCTTAGACTTGCGTGTTTTTGCTTTATTTTGCTTGGAGACTTACTTTGTTTTATCATTTCTTGAAATCACTTAAATCCTACTTTTTATACTTAATTGATTTTATTGATTACAGGTAAAATCTCACCCTCAGAGATGTTCCAATAAGCTTCTTTCACAGACTAGACTGCTTCCTAGTCTGGGTCCAATCCTTTCCCCGGTACAGTCCTTGTTAGTTTCAGCAGACATCTTAGGTGAAAACTTTTGCTTATTAATTAAGCCAGAGTAAGTGATTAATACCTGTGGGAGCAAACAGCTGTGCATATCTCTCTATCTCTTTAAAAAAGGGAAGAAGGAGGATTCTGGGAACTATAGGCCAGTCAGCTTCACCTCAGTCCCTGGAAAAATCATGGAGCAGGTCATCAAGGAATCAATTCTGAAGCACTTAGAGGAGAGGAAAGTGATCAGGAACAGTCAGCATGGATTCACCAAGGGCAAGTCATGCCTGACTAATCTAATTGCCTTCTATGACGAGATAACTGGCTCTGTGGATGAGGGGAAAGCGGTGGACGAGTTGTTCCTTGACTTTAGCAAAGCTTTTGACACGGTCTCCCACAGTATTCTGGCCAGAAAGTTAAAGAAGTATGGGCTGGATGAATGGACTCTAAGGTGGATAGAAAGTTGGCTAGATTGTCGGGCTCAATGAGTAGTGATCAATAGCTCCATGTCTAGTTGGCAGCCGGTATCAAGTGGAGTGCCCCAAGGGTCAGTCCTCGGGCCGGTTTTGTTCAATATCTTCATTAATGATCTGGAGGATGGTGTGGATTGCACCCTCAGCAAGTTTGCAGATGACACTAAACTGAGAGGAGAGGTACATACGCTGGAGGGTAGGGATAGGATACAGAGGGACCTAGACAAATTAGACGATTGGGCCAAAAGAAATCTGATGAGGTTCAACAAGGACAAGTGCAAAGTACTGCACTTAGGACGGAAGAATCCCATGCACTGCTACAGACTAGGGACCGAATGGCTCGGCAGCAGTTCTGCAGAAAAGGACCTAGGGGTTACAGTGGACAAGAAGCTGGATATGAGTCAACAGTGTGCCCTTGTTACCAAGAAGGCCAATGGCATTTTGGGATGTATATGTAGGGGCATTGCCAGCAGATCGAGGGACATGATCATTCCCCTCTATTCGACATTGGTGGGGCCTCATCTGGAGTACTGTGTCCAGTTTTGGGCCCCACACTACAAGAAGGATGTGGAAAAACTGGAAAGAGTCCAGCGGAGGGCAACAAAAATGATTAGGGGACTGGAACACATGACTTATGAGGAGAGGCTGAGGGAACTGGGATTGTTTAGTCTGTGGAAGAGAAGAATGAGGGGGGATTTGATAGCTGCTTTCAACTACCTGAAAGGGGGTTCCAAAGAGGATGGATCTAGACTGTTCTCAATGGTAGCTGATGACAGAACAAGGACTAATGGTCTCAAGTTGCAGTGGGGGAAGTTTAGGTTGGATATTAGGAAAAACTTTTTCACTAGGAGGGTGGTGAAACACTGGAATGAGTTACCTAGGGAGGTGGTGGAATCTCCTTCCTTAGATATTTTTAAGGTCAGGCTTGACAAAGCCCTGGCTGGGATGATTTAGTTGGGGATTGATCCTGCTTTGAGCAGGGGGTCGGAGTAGATGACCTCCTGAGGTCCCTTCCAACCTTAATATGCTATGATTCTATGATTCTATGAGTGTTATAGAGGGTGGACAATTCATGGGTTTACCCTGTATAAGCTTCATACAGAATAAAATGGATTTATTTGGGGTTTGGATCCCATTGGGAACTGGGTGTCTGGGTGCTGGAGATAGGTGACCTGCTGAGCAGTTTTTGGTTAAAGCCTGCAGCTTTGGGGGTGTGGACCAGACCTGGGTCTGTGTTGCAGCAAGCTAGCGTATCTGGCTTAACAAGGCAGGGTTCTGGAGTCCCAAACTGGCAGGGAAAATGGGCTCAGAGGTAATCTCAGCATGTCAGCTGACAGTCCCAAGGGGGGTCTCTGACCGAACACATCACAGACATGTGTCGTGTCAGCATACCTGGCTCTATGCAAAGCCCCCTACAGGAGTCACTGGTAGAGGAGGAGTGCCAGCCATGCTATTGACGAAACTGGGGCACGACCCAATGCTCTTACTATCCTGGCTCTTCCTGGCTGCTGATGCTGCTACAACCAGCACAGGCAGATGAACTGACCCCAGCCAGCCCCCTCAGAGGGGAGGCACAAAGGTGGCATAAAGTGAACTGGGCACTGAGTGAATAAGTCCTGCAAACATCGCTGCTGTACACTCACCTCTCCATGCGGATTGCTTCTGTCCTCCGCAACTTTTCTTCCCAGGTCTCGTTCAGCTCAGCGATGATCTTCTCTGTTTCCTGGCAAGCAGAGTTTAAATGTTAGTATTTTGTGACTGCTGTCACCTTTGGTAACAGAACTACAAATGCTCTTTTAGGCTTTGCTCCAGAACCTCTGTTCTACAGAGGTCACAGTCACAGTGGCATTTACTCAGTCACACCACACAATGATCTTGTATAATGGACACAAATGAGACAGCTCTGTCTCCTGGCTGCAGAATGTGAATCCCAGTTCCAGGCTGGTTTCAATGTAAAGCATCCCTCAGGGAAAAGGCAGGGTAAGAGGTTTTTCAACAAACCCTTACACCAGTCACAGTATTTGAAGACAACATGTTAGGAAAGCAGATGACCCTCAGACATGCCATTCAGAGCTGGGCAGAACTGGGCCCAAACTGCAGCCTGATGGCTCTGCTGGGCCACACCCCAATCAGACCTCAGCTGGCCCTGATAAAAGGGCTATGAGCCAGGAGCTAGACACTCTCCCTCCAGCTTCTGAGGGAGAAGGACCTAGCTGCCTGGGAGCCATGGGTGCAGGCAACAGAGCAGGGCTGGGGAAAGGTGAGAGGAGCTCCCAGCTAGCAACTCCCCAGACTGCAGGCTCTGTGCAAGGCCAAACTAGGTACTGGGGTTGCAGAGGCTGCAGGCCAAACCCCCTTTTGCCAACGATGAATGGCTTGTATACTGCAGTCTGCTGCAGTGAATGGGGGCTAGATGCTGACTGGCAGTAGCCATAGACTGAGGTGAGGTGGGGATAGAGGTTTGGGGGTTCCCTGGGGAGGGGAGACCCAGATATGTGGGGGTACTGCTTGGGGGCAGCACCCAAGGTAAAGGGGCACCAGGGTCTGGGAGGGACATGGGGCCAGCGGGACATTGGCCTACAGAGGGTGCTCCAGAGGCTGGAAAAGCTAATTCCCTGGATGACCAGCAGGAGGTGCCATGCTGGTGAGTCACCGCCCTGCTACAGGGTGCCTCAATTTTAAGTTGCAATGCTTTAGAGAACCCTGATTTTTAGACAACTTTAAGCACCCTCCCTCTGAAAATCTGTAAATTTGAATTTCACTCTTTAAGGTGTTCAAAATTGGGCACTGAAAATCCTGGGTTGCTTTTGAAATGTTTGGCCTCGAAAAAGATGGTTACTAACCTTTTTGTCACTGTTGTTCTTTGAGATGGGTTGCACATGTCCATTCTGAGTTAGGTGTGTGCGTGCCCTGAGCATCGCTGTCAAAATTTTTTCCCCTAGTGGTATCCATCGAGCTGGTTCCAGTGCCCCCTGGTGCCAAACGTTCACAGCATCGGTACAAGGGGCCCTGCTGAGCTCTGCCAAGTCCGCGTCCCTCAGTTTCTTCTTACTGACCACTCCGAGAGCAAGGACGGTGGGTGGCCCTTATTCCTCTTTCTCTGCTGATCATGCCTGGCTAGCTGGGCATAGAAATCCCCATAATGCTGCAGCCTATATGGTCTCCTGGGTTGTGCTGGAGAATGCAGGCCCAGGGACTTCAGAGTTGCCCTACAATCTTTTAGGGTATGCAGTCTGGCATCAGTTTGCTCTGAAAAAAGCGAGGGCCCCTCAAAAGGCAGGTCTTGCAAGGTCTGGTGTACTTCCTGTGGGCACTCTGGCGCCTGTAACCATGAGCTCCTGTGCATGGTAACTGCCATGGCCATAGATGTAGCCGCAGAGTCCAGGGCTGCCTGCAGAGAGGCTCCCATCTTGCCCTCCTCCACAAGGGTGGAGAACTCCTGCTGGCTATCACGGAGAAATCTGTCTTTGGACTTGTTCGTTGCTTCCCACTCGTTTAAAGTCATAGTGGCCCAGCACTGCCTGCTGGTTCGCTATGCGAAGTTGAAGCCCTTCTTACCCTCCACCCCAGTGGAGTTGGCTTTCCTGCCCAGTAGGTTGAGCTTCAGGGGCTTCTTCATCTTCAGTGCGGACCCTGGCTGGCCCTGACAGTCCCTCTTCTTGGCAGCTGCCACAACGAGTGATCTGGGGGTGCGGGGTGAGAAAATAAAAACTCACAACCCTTGGCTAGCACAAAGTACTTCCACTCTGTCCTCTTGGCAGTAGGAGGGAAGGAAGCTGGGTTCTGTCAGAGCGTCTTAATAGGTCCCATAATGGCCTCATATAGGAATAGAGCAACCTTTGCACAAGTCGCTGCTGACAAATTGTCCAAGAAGCTGTCAGAAGGCTCCTTGACAACTTCTGCCTGCAGGCCCAGATTGGATGCCACCCGATTTAATGAGTCCTGGGGGGCCCTCAGGTCATCCTGAAGCAGGGATGTCCCCTTCTCCATTAGTTCATCATCAGGTGAAGATGAAGAGAAGGCATGCACTGCCATAGCCTCCACTATATCCTCCCCTTGGGAAGCCTGCTCGTGCTGATCAATACCAGCCTCAGTACTGGCTTTGGTACTGGGATGTGCTCCAGATTTGGTGCCAAGCGCAGTGCTCAGGCCAGTCCTACTATCGATACCAGTGATAGGTGGCAGTATGTCATCACGCAGTACCAGTGGCATCCTACTCTCAGAGTAGACCGAGTTGGAATGCCTACAGCTGGTGCCTTGACCCAGGCCAAACCGCCCAAAAAGGCCACTGTACCAGTGCCGGAGCCCAGGGGCCAAGTGTTCTAGGGCATCATGGCTCCCGACAATGCTGATCGGTGGCGAATGTGGCCTTGGCCATGGCGGCGAGGTGAGGAGCCAGAACCAGAGTCTGATTTTTGAAGAGGAGAAGGAGCATGGGGACCAAGGCAGTGGGGGAGGGATAGCTCAGTGGTTTGAGCATTGGCCTGCTAAACCCAGGGTTGTGAGTTCAATCCTTGAGGGGGCCATTTAGGGATCTGGGGCAAAAAATTGGGGATCAGCCTTGCTTTGAGCAGGGGTTTGGATGACCTCCTGAGGGTTTGTGGTGCTGGCGCGAGCGACAGTGTCAGTGGCTGCTGCGGTGCCAGAAACGGGGGAGCAGTGCGGTGCGGGTCTCGCCCTATCCCTGTCCGCAGCTCTTGACTTTGGTGAGGAAGAACAGCTCTTCTCACCATTCCCGCAATGCTTCTTCTTGGGCACTGGTGATGAGGAGCAATGCTGAGAGCCCCTAGCAGTGGGAGGTGCACTGCGCTCTGAAGATGATGTGCTCATGCCGAGTCAGATCCCAGCTCCGAGGTGGGTCTCAATACTGCCTCCATCAGGAGGACTTTCAGTCTTGCTGCTCAGACTTTTTGAGTGTGTGGGCTTAAACTCACAACAAATTTGGCAACGATCTTTTCTGTATCCTTCTCACAATCCCAAACACTTAAGACAGCTCAAGAGAGGGTTGCTGTTGGGCATAGGCTTCCCACAGGTGGAGCCAGGTGTAAACCCTGGAGACTAAGGCATGCCCCGGCACCCAGAAGGAGGAACACCTCTCCAGACAAGGAGAGGTGTCCCAATTTCCATACTAGACTTACTAAAAACTACTTAAACTACTTAACTAACAACTATTTACAATAAAAGCTAAGCAAAAAACCACTATGAAAAACTTTGCCAAGGCAAAGAGGGGAGTTCCAACAGCAGTTATGGGCAGTAAGAAGGAACTGAGGAACGCGGGCTCAGCATGGCCCCTTATACTGGCACTATGAGAGCACAGCATCACGGGGCACCAGAGCCGGCCCAACAGATACCACTAGGAAAAAAATTCCAACAGTGATGCTCAAGGTGTGCACACACCTAACTTGGAATGGCATGTGCAAGCACTTGAAGAATTGAGCTTCTGGAGGCTTTCTAAACCTGTGGGGAAATCTCTAGAAGGTCATCTTGGGGGCCTGGACTCCACAAAGTATCCTTGTCAAAGTACCTGCTGTCTTCATTTGATTTCATTACTTTGTAAGAAGCAGGAGGCTGCAGATAATCTAGGAGGCGCACAAATAATAATCGCAGAGCCTGGGCTGTTACAGTCACTATCCGCAGGTTCAAATGCCACCATGGGAATATAAAATGGAACTGTTGCCAGATCAAGTGTGTTTCATCTTCCCCAATCTCAGTAAAGCATGATGTCAGCATCCTCAGGCTCTTACCTTCAGCCTCTCAATGGCCTCTTCACTGCCTGGAGCAAACATGATGCGTTCATGGAGGCTAGAGACGGAGGCAGCTCGGCTGGACAAGGCTGAAAGCGAGGAGGACGGGCTCATCCCCACTAAGGCATTGGTCACTGTGGAGAGATTGTCAGGGCGTTGACTCAGTTCTGCCAGGCTACGGTTACCATTATTGTTCTCAAAGTCGGTCATGTCTATGGGGCAGGGAAGGGGGACAGAGGGAGGGATGGACACGTGGACAGGAAGAAGGAAAAGGAAGATAGAGAAAAGAAAGGCAGTTGGGAAAAAGTGACATGATGCGGTGAGCAGAAAGCTAGAAATTAGAACACAGAAATACACACAGCGTCATGTGCCAGCAACAGGGCTAGAGGCACTCACACCATCTCTACACCAGAAGGAGCATTCACACCACATCCAGAACAGCCACACTAAGTGTTGCTACATGGTTCTTCGCCCACACCACCATCCCCCATTATGTCCCCTGGCTTGTCAGACAGAGAGCCAGGCAGAGGGCAGGAAAGTTTACTCATGATTGGGTTGGCTAATGGCTAAATGGGCAGAAGAGCCCAGTTGCCATTTTGGCCCCAATATGGTTTGATGTTCAGAAGAGCCTAGGGCACTGGGTGCTGCTCTCTTGTGAAAATCTGGCTGTGAGTGTCACAATGGGAACTGCTGGATCTGGTCCCAGTGAGCTCTTGGGGGCAGGGCCCAGCTTTTTGTTAAGTATTTGTACAATGCCTAATACCACAGGGTCCTGGTCCATGACTGAGGCTCCTAGGAGCTACCAAAATCCAAAGATATTATCACAGTGATGATAGCTCTTCTCAAAACCTGACCCATGACTCAATCGTCCCATGGCTGGGCTGGTTTGTATTCATTTCCCCAAGAATATTTAAGTGACTGGTGTTTTATTCCCTTGAGCATTAGTCCAAATATTGGAATCCAGGAACGCATGAGGTGATTCACACGGGGGGAGCTCGCACAGCTGCCCCATGTCTAACAGGTTTATGTCTTTGAGCGGGAGGCTGTTGGGAGGCAGCAGGGGGAGCCTAAGGGAGTGACAAAGCCAACCAAATGGAGTGATCATCACTCAGTGAGGGGCTGGAGAAGTAGGAGTAACGGAAAGTTGCCTGGGGTCCTGGTGCATGTGATCCAGCCTCAGAACATGGAGTAAGGTGCCTGCTGTGCAGTCAGAGACTGAGGCTGAATGGTGGCGGGGTGACAGTACCTCGGGACAACTTCCCTATGGAATCACTACACGTAGCACCAGCCACAATGGCACAGTGTTAGTGGGGGGCCAAAGAGCTGCTGACATGGGGACAGCCATCACCAGGGAGATATGGGGGAGCCAAGAAGCAACAATCACTTGGTGTTATTGTGACAAAAGGAAATGAAATGTCAGTCTGCTAGACAGCCCTCAGCCAGGCAGGACCACAGCTATTTCTAAATCTGAGCCAAATGCTCTTTCTTGTGCAAAAGAAAATGGGAAAAGGCCTTTGAAGTCTGAAAATGTCCCAATCTTGCACTTCTCCTGCTCCCTCCACTCTCTCTGAGACATGCAACACCCCAAAGATTTTTTCTGTCACTGCTCCTCTTTATTCTCTGATTGGATGATCTAATCTTTATAGAGTCCATGACCAGAGCCCAATCAAATGGAATTCGTCACACTGAGTGCTGATAAGTAGAATCATAGAATATCAGGGTTGGAAGGGACCTCAGGAGGTCATCTAGTCCAACCCCCTGCTCAAAGCAGGATCAATCCCCAATTTTTGCCCTAGATCCCTAAATGGCCCCCTCAAGGATTGAATTCACAACCCTGGATTTAGCAGGCCAATGCTCAAACCACTGAGCTATCCCTCCCACCCTACCAAATTCATCGTCCATTTTGATCAATTTCATGGTCAAAGGATTTTAAAAATCATGAATTTCATGATTTCAGCTATTTAAATCTGAAATTTCATGGTGTTGTAATTGTAGGGGTCCTGACCCAAAAAGGAGTTGTAGCGAGGTTTGCAGTACTGCTACCTTTATTTCTGCGCTGCTGCTGGTGGCGGCACTGCCTTCAGAGCTGGGTGGCTGGAGAGCAGCAGCTGCTGGCTGGGATCCCAGCTCTGAAGGCAGAGCTGCCACCAGCAGCAGCGCAGAAGTAAGGATGGCAATGGTATGGTATTGCCACCTTTATTTCTGCGCTGCTGCCTGCAGAGTTGGGCCTTCAGTCAGCTGCCACCACTCTCTGGCAGCCCAGCTCTGAAGGGAGCAGAGCAGAAGTAAGAATGGCATCAGATGGTATTGCCACCATTACTTCCATGCTGCTGGGGGGGGGCACTGCCTTCAGAGCTGGTCACCCGGACAACAGCCGCCTCTTTCTGGCCACCCAGCAATGAAGGCAGCTCAGGAGTAAGGGTGGCAATACCGTGACTCCCCCTCCCCCAAATAACCTTGCAACCCCCCTGAAACCCTCTTTTGGCTCAGGACCTGCAATTTGAGAAATGCTGGTCTCCCCTGTGAAATCTGTATAGTATAGGGTAAAAGCACACAAAAGACCAGATTTCATTGGGGGAGACCAGATTTCACAGTCTGTGACACGTTTTTCACGGCCGTGAATTTGGCAGGGCCCTACTGACGAGAACTGGGGACAGTTGGCAAACAGCCTGTAGGCGGATGTATGTTCATATAATTTACCTGTCCAACTATGATGCATAACAACAACCAAATTTTTAGGAATCCTGGCCATTTCATGGACAATTTGCAAACAGGAAAATGACGAGGGCTGACACAAAAATTGTCTCGTGGGGCCATTCACACTGCAGCTGCACTGCTTGTCTGAACACTGGTATTTTAACGCCACATCAGCATTGATACGTGATCCCCTTTCATGTGTGTGTTAGGATGAGGTTAATGTTAGTGACTACAATTGTTTCTGATAATGGCCTGGTGTTGACTCTGCGGGTGGGGTTAGTGCATACACCTGCCTGCATTTGGCCCAACACTTGGACTTCTAGGGGAGTTCTCATGGAAGCCTCCAAAGTCTCTTTACTTCTGGTGGTGCATAGCAATGGCTGCCATGGATCCAGGCCCCAGAACCAATATAGTGATGGAGAGAGAGATGGGGCCTGCTCAGGTGAGCTGTAAGAAAGGCAGCTCTGCAATGTTGGAGATCTGGCATTGTCTGGGGTCACTGAAAGCAGGGAAGGAATTACTGTGCTGATAGTTTAAAAACTGCTCAGATATACTAGACACCAGTGGTCCGGTGAAATGCCTGAGGAAGAGGGCGGGCCAAAAACCAACTGAAAGCACCGCCAGACCTTTTCAGGACTGGCTGTAGGCAGGTATGGGGTCAGCAGTACAGTGCACGTAGTTTGCTGAAGTTGCGAGGTCTCATTGTCAGAGGTGCTGAGTTTGACCCCAGCTGAGGCTGTGGGTGCTCTGCATCTCTAGAAGCCAGGCCTGGAGTGACTGATGTGGGGCATGCCGAGCTGGCTGTGGGGGCTTCTCTGAGGAGTCACTATCTGCAAGTGTGCAGAGGCTGCTGGTCTTCGCTGATGTTTGGAGGCTGGTCCTGACACCTGCTCTGCTGCCAACCTGTTCAGGGGACTGGCTAGAACACGGCACAGCCAACCAGTTCCCTCTCCATTAAAACCCCATCTGCTTCATGATGTGACTGCTTCACAAAGTTGCTTTGGGCTTTTGCTGCACCTTCGCCTCTGCTCCCCCTGGTCTGAACTTTCCGGGGTGCCAAGGGCAGGATGGTAGCCGCAGCCCTGTTCCAATCAGACACTCCCTTGTGGGCCGGGAGGTTCTGGCCAGGCCTTGCCCCCTTACACTCACCCCATGGCAGCCAGGCTGTAGTTGTGGAGGGCATCAGGGAGGGCAGGATGGCCCAATGCACTCCCCCCATCCGCAGGGCACTCAGAATCAGGCCTTTCAGATTATGTGCACAAGGAGGACTCTGTGAGGGGCTAAAGGCAGTAGCCCAGTGCCTGGCAGGCCATGAGGGGCCCCCTTAAAACCACAACATGTTGGAGGCCCAGATTTTACTGATTTTTCCTCATTTTTTTGCCCAGGATACTCATGGCTCTCCTCCCTCTGCACTATGGTAAATCTCCAGCCCCCAGGTGGCATGCTGGAACTCATACACCCCATGGAGACGGCGCAGAGACACACGTGCGGCTTACGAAGAGGGCAGCCGCCCTGGAGGCATTTGTTAGTAGCCCTCGGGTCCACTGGCACCGACTTTGTCCCTTCCCAGGGGGTGCTCAACCCCTGCTCTGCCCCAGGCCATGCCCCCACTCCACCCCTTCTCCTAAACCCCCACCCCACCCCGCTCCACCCCATCCGTCGAGCGCACTCCCCCTCCCAGGGCCTCCTGCACACCGCTAAACAGCTGATCCACGGCGGGCAGGAGGCGCTGGGAGGGAGATAAAGGCGCTGATCAGTAGAGCCCTGCACGGATATAAAAATGTGGAAGAAAAGGTGGAGGAATTGTACTGTATGTAAGAGAGCATTATGACTGCTCAGAGCTCCAGTATGAAACTGGGGAAAAGCCTGTTGAGAGTCTTTGGGTTAAGTTTAGAGGCGAGAGCAACAAGGGTGGTGTCGTGGTGGGCGTCTGCTATAGACCACCAGACCAGGTGGATGTGGTAGACAAGGCTTTCTTCAGACATCTAACAGAAGTTTACAGATCATAGGCCCTGGTTCTCATGGGGGACTTCAATTACCCTGACATCTGCTGGGAGAGCACAACAACAGTGCACAGACAATCCAGAAAGTTTCTGGAGAGTGGGGACAACTTCCTGGTGCAAGTGCTAAAGGAATCAACTAGGGGCTGTGCTCCTCTTGACCTTCTCCTCACAAACAGGGAAGAATTGGTAGGGGAACTAGAAGTGGTTGGCAATCTGGGCAGCAGTGACCATGAAATGGTCGAGTTCAGATCCAGCCAAAAGGAAGAAAGGAGAGCAGCAGAATACGGACCATGGACTTCAGAAAAGCAGACTTTGATTCCCTCAGGGAACTGATGGGCAGGATCCCCTGGGAGACTAATATGAGGGGGAAAAGAGTCCAGGAGAGTTGGATGTACTTTAAAGAAGCCTCACTGAGGGTGCAGGAACAAACCATCCCAATATGCAGAAAGAATAGCAAATATGGCAGGCGACCAGCTTGGTTTAACAGAGAAATCTTTGGTGAGCTTAAACACAAAAGGGAAGCTTACAAGAAGTGGAAACTTGAACAGATGAGTAGGGAGGAGTATAAAAATACTAGTCAAGCATGCAGCGGTGTAATTAGGAAGGCTAAAGCACAATTGGAGTTGCAGCTAGCAAGGGATGTGAAGGGTAACAAGGAGGGTTTCTACAGGTATGTTAGCAACAAGAAAAAGGTCCGAGAAAGTGTGGGACCCTTACTGAATGGAGGAGGCAACCTAGTGACAAATGATGTGGAAAAAGCTGAAGTACTCAATGCTTTTTTTTTTTTTTGCCTTGGCCTTCACAGGCAAGATCAGTTTCCAGACTGCTGCACTGGGCAACACAGAATAGGGAGGAGGTGAGCAGCCCTCAGTGGTGAAAGAACAGGTTAAGGGCTATTTAGAAAAGCTGGACATGCACAGGTCCATGGGGACAGATCTAATGCAACCGAGGGTGCTGAGAAAGTTGGCTGATGTGATTGCAGAGCCATTGGCCACTATCTTTGAAAAATTCGTGGCGATTGAGGGAGGTCCCTGACGATTGGAAAAAGGCAAATATAGTGCCCATCTTTAAAAAAGAGAAGAAAGAGAATCCAGGGAACTACAGACTGGTCAGCCTCACCTCAGTCCCTGGAAAAATCATGGATCAGATCCTCAAGGAATCCATTTTGAAGCACTTGGAGGAGAGGAAGGTGATCAGGAACAGTCAACATGGACTCACCAAGGGCAAGTCATGCCTCACCAACCTGATTGCCTTCTAGGATGAGATAACTGGCTCTGTGGATATGGGGAAAACGGTGGACGTGATATATGTTGACTTTAGCAAAGCTGTTGACAGCAAGCAAGCAAGAAAGTTAAAAAAGTATGGATTGGATGTATGGACTATAAGGGGGACAGAAAGCTGGCTAGATCATCGGGCTCAATGGGTAGCGAGCAACGGCTCTATGTCCAGTTGGTAGCCAGTATCAAGCGGAGTGCCCTAGGGGTCGGTTCTGGCGCCCATTTTGTTCAACATCTTCATTAATGATCTGGATGATGGGATGGATTGCATCCTCAGCAAGTTTGCAGATGACACTAAGCTGGGGGGGAGAGGTAGCTTTGCTGGAGGGTAGGGATAGGGTCCAGACTGACCTAGATAAGTTGCAGAATTGGGCCAAAAGAAATCTGATGAGGTTCAACAAGAGAAGTGCAGAGTCCTGCACTTAGGATGAAAGAATCCCACCAGTGCTACAGGCTGGGGACCGACTGGATAAATGGCAGTTCAGCAGAAAAGGACCTGGGGATTACAGTGGATGAGAAGCTAGAGATGAGTCAACAGTGTTTTCTTGTTGCGGAGAAAACTAACGGCATCTTGGGCTGCCTTAGTAGGAGCATTGCCAGCAGATCGAGGGATATCATTATTCCCCTCTATTAGGCACTAGTGAGGGCACATCTGGAGTATTGCATCCTGTTTTGGGGCTCCTACTACAGAAAGGATGTGGACAAACTGGAGAGAGTCAAGCGGAGGGCAACAAAAATGATCGGGGGCTGGGGCACATGACTTATGAGGAGAGGCTGAGGGGATTGGGTTTATTTAGTCTGCAGAAGAGAAGAATGAGGGGGGATTTGATAGCTGCTTTCAACTACCTGAAGGGGGTTCCAAAGAGGATGAATCTAGACTGTTCTCAGTGGTAGCAGATGACAGAAAAAGGAGTAATGGTCTCAAGTTGCAGTGGGGGAGGTGTAGGTTGGATATTAGGAAAAACTTTTTCATTAGGAGGGTGGTGAAGCACTGGAATGGGTTACCTAGGGAGGTGGTGGAATCTCCTTCCTTAGAGGTTTTTAAGGCCTGGCTTGACAAAGCCCTGGCTGGGATGATTTAGTGGGGGATTGGTCCTGCTTTGAGGAGGGGGTTGGACTAGATTACCTCCTGAGGTTTCTTCCAACCCTAATCTTCTATGAACTAAGACCAGAAATCCAGGCCGGCTTCTTACAAGGAAAGGAAGCCTTACTCATAAGTCTGTTTCCAATGGACCAAGGGATCCCGGTCAGGCGTTTGTTAATTCTGAAGGAGTCAATGGGCTGAGATCACTCTACCTGCACTAGGCTCCCATCAGCTGTTATTTTGCCTGAGACCACAGCAGGGAAATTGGGGGCTGTTTCTCTGCCAAACTGACATGGATTCTAGCTATGCCACTGACCAGGGATGTCAGCTGGACTGTTGAGAGCTCTTTTACAAACAAGGCGCAGATTGCAGGGCCTCCCAGCTCACTTTCTCAAGTTCAGGAGCACATGAACTAGTTCAGTAGCCCTGCTGGTCCCAGTACAACCAGCAGTAGGATCTAGGCTGGGTCACTGGGAACACTTGTGATTTTATATCAGTGGTAGGAAGCAGATAACTTAGTGCCCATAGTTAGGGTATTGCCAGCAGAACCAGTACTGGAATCGGTACTAGTCCCAGACCCAGCAGAAGCAGCAACAGCACAGAAACAGCAGGAACCATAGCTACAGCATGGAGAAAAGAGGCCCAGGAAGTTCATTTAGAAAACCAATTCCATCTCACATGTTTTGGAGGGGAGCACAATGCAGGCAAATTCTTCAGCTAACCTCTGGCCACTCCAGTACATCGGCTCAAAACCTCAGCCAAGGCACTGACTGAGAGAAGCTGGCTAGCCTCAGTCTGGCTTCCCCAGCTCAGCACCCAGGACCACATGGCTCAGGGCTGCACTACCTCTTGTGCAGAGCTAACACAGAGTTTGAGGAAGACTGGTGCATGGCCTCCCCTGTCCTTGCCATATATCAATCCCAGGCCCCCCTCCCCTCCCCTAGCAGATGGCGCCATGGAGGTCCCCTTGCTTGTGGATCTGGGAGAACCATCAAGCATGATAGCCTCACACGAGGGCCAAGGATGAGCCTTCTAATGAGGAAAGGGAGCTCCCTGTGCGAAGAGGTTACTCTGCTAATGCAGGCACTTGCCCACCAAACCTCCTAAGTGATCTGCGCATCCCTTGGCTGGAGCAGAGTCCTGGCTGAGCACTGTGGCAGGGTACTGGTGGGGAGGAGCAGATGACTACCTTAACACCTCCACAGCACAGCTGTGAGAGCACACAAGCTTCCCATAGCTGGGCCCTTGCTTGTAGGCAATTGGACCCCTTTGCCATGCTGTATGTATGTTCCTTTGCTACGACCGAGTCTTGAAGAAGCAGTGAAGCACACACAATACCCACAATGGGAATACACACATTTAGGTCCTCCTGGAGCAGTGTTAGCTAAGAGAAAGAGAGGAGAGGGAGTGGGAAGAAAGACAAAAGAAAACAGAACAAGAATAGGTTCATCTTTATAGGACTAAGGAACAGAGAAGCATGCCCCTCAGGTTGAGAAGAGAGCCCGTACATTGACCCAGCCTGGGGACATCTCCCTGGGAGCAACACAGGGAGCGCTCACCGAGCTGAGACTGGCTCTTTGGTGGGACAGCAGTCCTGGGACTGATAGCACAGAGGATGAGCCTGTCCCCGTGGAGCCACCCTGGGGCTGGAGACTAGGGTTCACGGTCAGCATGAGGGGTGTAGGCTAGAGTCCCCAGGATTGTGGTGATCACATGCATCTCCCTGATATCAGTAGGGGGCTTTCCCAGCAGGCTATGGCGGAGAAGCAGTGTCAGGGAGAGGAACTACAAGGAGCAACAGGGCAGGGAATGGAGATGTCTTGGTGATGTAATGCCATTGCACATTGTGGTGGGGATGAAGATGGCTGATCCTGTCTTACCCCAGTAAACTGAAATTTAGAGAGCTCCATCTTGCTTCTCCTAAGCAAATCCCGGTCCCAGCTTAGAGCCCACAGAGGTACGTACTGTCAATGATGTCTCCGAGACCCTGGGCGTAGAGCAGATCTCTCAAACGAGCCACTTCATCCTTCAGCTCCCTGATCAGCTTATTGTTAGGATCCTCATTAATGACGGCGTTGCATCTGATCTGTTTGGCACGGTCAGCATACCTGCAGAAATGGGACACATGGTCAATCACCAGACTTCCTCAGACTTCAGGTCTGAGACAGCATGGGCCAGGGACTAGGGCATTGGACTGGCATTCAGAAGACCTGGGGTCTATATGCATATAATAATGCAAAGCATGGCTTCTCGCAGAGCCCTCGTTAGCACAGTTCAGACAGCCGAAGGCTCCCTCAGAGCTGTAGCTTTCTGGCCATGAGGCTCCCTGTTCTACTCCCATCTGCAGTAACAGACGGGGGACGCACAGAGCAAATCCAGCAATACAAAGGAGAGGGTCACAGTGTAGTCTAGTGCCAAGCTGGGAGAGGGACTAGGAAGGCCAGTGGCAGGGGTGGAGGACAGTGCTCTGTAATGCTACGGACAGAACGAATGGTTAGGGACCCTCATCTGCTGCTTTGACATTGACACAGGGCAGTGGTAAGTGCTGCCCAAAGTGGAGCTCTGTATCAGTGAGGGGCTATGGAACAATAGTGGAATGAAGGAACAGTGAAGGCAACAGGAGGGGAATGGCTAAGGCTGTGACTTCAGATGTCACACTCCATGTTCCCCAGCCCCTGTGCAGGGGACGTGACGATGAACTGTTGTCACAGAGGCCTACCTTAAAGTACTGAGGGTCTCATCGTAGTTGATATCAGCAGGGCTGAGAGCAGCAACCATAGCAGTCCTGGAGTTACCACCTGCCAGAGAAAACACCTTGGCTCCATGAAGCAGATCTGTTCCTGGGCCCTCTTTTTAACCCCCGTTCTCTCTGCTTTCCCCTTCCTGCCAGAGCATCCCTGTCATTCTGCCCACTGAGCACACATACCAAACAGTATCCCCACCCCACAGCCCTCCCAGCTCACATGGTCACTCAGAACTCCAGCACAGGAACATCTAGTGCTTTGAATGAGTTGGGACGTAACCCTGCCCCAGTGAAGGGTCCCTGACAGCCGGAGGGCAAAGGGAGGGGGAGGAGTTAAATCAGGGAGACTATGAGAGTTCAGAAGACAGGAGCCTCTGGAGGTCTGTTGCCTGGAAATTCAGTGAGTTAAGGCCAGAACCAGGGCAAACTAAGTGAAAACCAGACTCCTTCCCTCACCCAGGTTTTCCCGGAGGAGCCAGGTCAGCACGGAGTCCCGGTACGGGATGAAGTCTGTCTTTTTCTTCTTTTTGTTCTGGAGGAAGAGAGCACAGCAGGGAGATGAGATACCTTGTTCTCTTCAAAGGTAGTGGGCTCTCAGACAGTATCAAGCAGGGTTATTCATCTAGTGACCTCCAGCCACATCTGGCCAAAGGCACACTCTTGAGCTTCCCCTAGCCTGGAGCAAACCACCTACGGTTCAGAGGTTCGATAAGGACCCAAACTCTGGATGCTGACCGAATTATCTACTTCTAGCAATCCAGCAAGAAGAGTCTGTCTATGGAGATTTTCTGCTTTAGAGTAGACCGGAAAAACATGAAGAACAACTCTGCCTCCCACTTCCACCCCCTCCCCCAACAAGCCACGATGTGATGTCCAATGGATAGGACACTAGCCAAGGACTTGGGTCTAAGTCCCTGCTCTGCCCCAGACTCCTTGTGTGACCTTGGGCAAGTTACTTGGCCTTGGTCCTCCCGACCTCACACAGGTGTTGTGAGGCGCCAGGTTCTATCGTAACAGGGGCCATACCAGCATCTGAGAGAGACTGAAGTTCAGGCAAGGCAGAGAGGACTATAACAGACTGGGGGGAAGTGAACTGAATATTTTCAGACCTCAATAGATGTTTGGTTTGGGTTCGGTTTGATTCTTATTGCAGCACAACCAGTTTGTCCATCCCTTACTCCCATCCAGCCCAGTTACACACCAATACCTAGGTCAGTGAACTCTCCCCTTCATTCCCCCCAAAAGATTTTACACAGGAGAAGCAACAGTCCACAGGTGACTTCCAGCTCTGGACTGATCTTGCAACAATGGCAGCACAGTCCCAGGAAATGCCAATGTGCCCGAGACACACTATGCTAAGCCTAGCCTGTGTCACCCCTCCCTCTATTTCCAGCTGATTCAGACTAGCAAAAGCTCTCCTCTCCACCACAGCTGTTCCACTGAGATATTAATCTCAAACGCAGGGAGCTGAAGGAAGCCAAGTTTAAAAGCCACTCTGTGGGCAGTGAATGAGGCCATTTTGGTACCGTTTTGACTGTCCTTGCTGTTGGCCAGCTCTTTGCTGCACGGCCTCTGCTATAGGTCACCAGTCACTGGAGCCACAGGGTTGCAGCACAGAACCTCACTGGAGGTCAAATTGTGCCTGAATTTCAGAGCAGAGCTCCCCACCGAAAACAATGGGGCACTCGGTTTAAAAATCCACGCAACAGCATGGTTCTGGGCTCCATCTCAGTAACCTCCCCCTTTCCATCCGCAATGCCCCTACCCCAGCCTGTGTTTGATCACCCAAGCCAAGGAACAGAACCCTCAAAGCACATACCTTATTGAGCCCCGAATCCTGAAAGGAAACCAGAGACATTGTTTACCATTGCATGAGCATGTGAGACAAAGAGAGGCTGAAGAGGAGGACAGTTTGCTCCAGTCAGGACAAGGGGCTGTGGGTAACTGCAACTTCCCCTCCATCACCTAGGGAAAGCTTCTACCTCTCAGAGATGAAGAACTCTCCATGGAGAGTAGGCTCTGAGCACGAGCACTGCCGTGCAGCTTGCAATGGAGGAGTGAGCGTGGGGGGGGGGGAACGACACAAAGGCTCCTCCTACCCTGCTTGCCCCTATGCTAAGAGTAAGTTCTGGATTTTCATCAGGTAGGCTGTGGCACAGGACATGTGACTGGGAGTTATTATTTAGATTGCGGTAGCATCCTAAACACAAAGGGAAACAACCCCTCTCCCACAGAGCATATACTGAGAAAAATCAAAGCCAGACGGAGGGCAGGGGAAGGGATCCCCATACCCACAAAGTGATGAAATGGTGAGAGATGCTCATGATCCTGGCTCCATTTCCTGTTCTGCCTGGCTGCCTAATGGCTCTAGCTCCTCTTAAAAATGTATCTATTAATATATATCCATCAATGATCCTCAATCTCCATTCCCAGGAGATCCCAGCTCACCCTTCCCACCCCCCAACTGCCCTGCCCCACCAGTCCCATGCAACCAACACTCCAGCCAGTCCCATGCAACGTGGATCGTTCTAAAGATTCCCCCACTCCAGGGTGGGGGAGTCTGCCAGGCACCAACTGATGCCAGAGTCCATCAGTGATACCTGTCATTCTATGCCAGCAAGGGTGTGTGCGAGAGGGAGTGAGCTCAGGGGCTGATGTACTTGAGTCATGGGAAGAGAGGGCTCTTTGCTGGCTTGTTCCCGGAATGTCTGCCTCGGAGGACATTTCATAGTCACTGGCACAAGGGACTACAAGGGCTGCTCATCCAATGGCATCACTGGGGCCTAGTATGAGCAGCCCTAACTCGCGGGGTGAGCACTGATTCATGTCAGTGGGTCCATAAGTGTCAATGGGAGTCAGTGCTTCAGGGTTGCACAGTGTGGTATTATGTAATGAGGCCCACCCTGTGGACAGACCTCCTTGGCCAACCTACCATTTCAGCCAGCGCAGATATGACCTTCCCCAGCGTGGTCAGAGACTTGTTGATGTTTGCTCCCTCCTGTTGAAGGAAGACAGAAAATCCTAGGCTCCAAAAGCTGACTGACAGAGAGGGTCCTGACACACGAATCAGCTTAAGGGTGCGTGGGTGTCTGCAGCTCAGCAGAACAGCCAGGCTCAGATCCACAGATGATCCATGCACACAGCAAACATGGCCAACAGCCAGCTCCCTCCCTGCCAGGGACCCCCTGGGGAGAGGAAAGGCATTGCATGTAGCTGGTTCTCAAGAGCGAACCAGTTGGGAGCAGTGGTTGTGCTGGGTTTAGTGGCTAATCAGGATGTCATTACTGGCACTCCAGCTGTCTGAAAATCCACCAAAGAAATGAGCACACCTCTCCGTGGCTGGGGTGCACCAACAGCACCCCAAACAGCACCCAGCACCGAGTACAGCTCCTGACTCATGCTCTTCTCTTACCTTTAGCCTCGTGCCCTTGGCCCCTGTAGAGTCGGCCCGTTCACTCCCAGCCAGGTCGACCAGGCTGATTTTGCTGACCTATAAACAGAGAGGGATGCTTGCCATTGAGGGCACAACAATGACTTGCACCCATCCAGAAGGGTCCCCAAACACCTGATGCATTGCTATGCAAATGGTGCAAACAGGAATCACAATCCACCACTGAAATGCAACCACCTCTGGAGTGAAATGCAGCAGCTGTTTAGCAGTGCCCAGTCATTCTGCATAGCAGTTTGGAGGAGGAAGTAACTACTTGGTTCAACTGAAACCGTTAGGGGTGGGGAGATGGATTTGGGGGAGGCAGAATGTGATTATCCAAATTGGAATAGGGCCTGGACGCTACAGCTAACATGCCTACTCTTGCAAAGAGTGACTTGGGGTGCTTAGTGGCCATAAGTAGTCAGGATCTCACCAAAAGACAATCCTGCCAGCAGCACAGCACCCCCGCCACCAGAACAAGGGATTAGTTCAATATATGCCCTGATGGTCTCCACCAGGGAGAGCTTTATTTTTGAAAAATTAACAGCAGTTTGAGTCTGAGTCCTGTTTTCTTCAGAGTCAGGGAGAGCAGGTTTCCAGCCTTGCCCATTCAAACAGAGATTGGCAAAATCAGGAGTTGGTCAACAAACAAACTGCAGGGTGGTTGGGCACAAGTCCTCATTTGTTTGAGGAGAAGTCAGATAAGTGGCTCAAGCCCCTGGCGCTGACCCAGGGTGGGGCATACACAAGGCTTTTGGGGCGAAAACTGCCCGCTGTTATTGCCACTACAATGCATAGCAAGGCTCAGATGTGCCCCACTGTGCTGAAAACCCTACCCAGAGCGAGCTAAAGGACCCAACAGGACAGTGGAGAGTGTGGCTGGGGGTGCAGTATGGGAAGGGGACACTGAAAGTTGGGGTATGGAAGGCTAGGCTTGCAAAGCTCTCCACTAGCCTTCTTCATCTCAGCTCCTAACAAAGATGCTTATTATTTATCTACCTCTTATCTCAGCCCTTTTAGCCCAACCGTCACGCCTTCTCTCCACCAGCAAGAGCACAGGAACTGGGGAAGTGCTGCCCTGCCCCACTAAAGGAACACCCCCCTTTGTGCTCACCTTCTCGGTGGTGACATCAGTTTCTGCATCGTGCCGTTTCTGGGTGAAGATGATGTTGAAGACAGCATGTGATCGGCTGCTGGTTTCGTTCATGTTTGTGGCAGCGACCGTCCTGTGGAGGGAAGAGGGCAGGGAGGCATGGAATCCTGCAGCACTATCTCAGAGTACACAGCTGATGACATCAGGCAGAGCTTGGTGACTCCGCAAGGCAGGACCGAGAAGAGCATGAGCAAGTGGAGATCATGCTGGACCACCTCTTAATGCCCAGCTCTGGTTTGGACGCCTCCGTCTCTAAGGGGCTCATGCAAAAGCCTGCTGCAGTCAATGAGGGTCTCCCCATTGAATTCAGCGGGCTCTGGGCCATGTCCCACACGCCCAGTCCCACCTCCACAGCTCCCTGGGGGCAAGACTCAGGATTGGTTCCATCACAAGGCAACATGAGGCTAGTGGACAGCAGTTAGGAGACAAGAAAAAAAAAAAACTGGGTCAGTGCGTGGGTGCTGCAGTATGGCTGCCATGGGTGAAAGTAAAATTTCTCTCTTACTGGTACGGGGGGCAGTTCTCCCCTGCCCCCAAAAGGAGTGGGGCCTTGGGCGGAAGGGACGGGGCTGAGGGCTCTCAGCATTCCCCAGACAGCCCGCCCACGCCGCCCGGGACTCCAGCAGTGATTTTAAATCGCCGGCCCTGGGGTAGCTGCTCCTTTTGCCCCCCACATCGGCAGCTGGGGGGTGGAGAAGGGACAGGGATGTTACAACACTGCTGCGGCAGCGCTTTAAGCAGGGTCCTTTTGCCATGGCAGCGCTTTAATGTCACTGCCCCCTTTGCGCCCCCCCATCCACGGCTTTCACGCGCTTCCAAGTCAGTGGTACGGGCCAGTACAGGCGGCTACTTTTTACCGGTACGTCGTACCAGCCCGTACCACTTTACTTTCACACCTGATGGCTGCTCTCTCTGACCCTGTCTGCTTTGTTCTCGTTGAGATACAGAGGCAAGAGCACAACGGGGCTCTCACCAGCAGCCCACCTAGCCAGCTCAGGAAAGAAGACGAGAGATTTCTGGGGCAATTGCGTCTAGGCCCTCCCAGCCAGAAGGCAGGGGCCTAGGATGTGGGGCACGGACTGGGTGATGTAAAGCAGGGGATTCTCCGAACAGCACTGGGGTGGGGAGGGAAGGAAAGGCAACCAAGGCTGTGCCCCCCTCTCACCTGGCTTTATTCCCAGAGTCCATCAGGTCCTGGATGTCATTGTAGGAAGTGACGGCCAGCTTGGAGAGGTCCTCAACGTAGGGACCCAGGAGGGGGTGCTCCCTTACCCTCAGGTTCCCCTTATTCTTGGGGTTCAGCAGGTCCCGCACACGCTCACAATATATCTCCATGTAGCTCACCTAGGGGACAAAGCGCACAAGGTCCGTGTCTGACAATGGGGGAAGGGGCTCCCACACCACACAGGACACAGACCCAGTTCTGTCACCCATCCTGACACACCCAGTGCCTTGCTCTAGGAGCCGTCCCATTCCAGGCAGTGATCGATTGATTTCAATGGCTGTGTCAGTGTGAGTGAGGGCAGAGTCTGGCATAAGGGCCATGGGCAAACCCTGCCCTGCATGCAGCTAGCTTTCCACCGGCCCTGCACGCCACACCCACCAGTCTGCACAAGGGGCTATGGAAGAGCGAGTTACTTTGTCGACACACCAGAGTTGCTTAGTAAGCTAAACTGGATTCTAAATAGGTTTGTTACTGAATTACGCTGAACTGATATAAGGCACTTTTAAATCAGTTAAGATTGTCACCAATGTAATGATGTTAACTGCGACCCCATATAGTTAAAGGAGTGCCAGGGAAGGCAGGCCAGGCCTGGGTGAGGGTATGTATCCCAACAGTGATGTCAGATCCGGGGGTGAGCCTGGAACCAGATGACGGCAGGACTCTCCCATTGTCCCATCCTGATGGCAGGTGCTGGAACCCAAGGGCTGCAGGCCAATGACTGCTGACCCATGAGAACAGCTGTAGTTCATTAGACCCCTCCCTGGACCCAGATGGGAGCAGGTGCAAAGGTACTAGGGCCTGTGAGTGACAGAGCAAGGAAGGCAGGCCTCCTCAAGGGCTGGAGCCCGGAGCTGCAGATAGTATTACATGGGAGCTCCTCTTTGGTCAATAAAAAGCAGGGTAACTGACTCAGGGCAAGAGCAGGGCAGGCCCATGCAGCGGTGCTGGCAACGGCCCACCTTAACTTATCATCACTGTCTCCTCAATAGGCGCTCTCCCCGGCAGAATGCCCCCCCGCTGTCAGCGGGAAGGGCTCCGTACCTCCACAGAATAGGACATGTTGTCATTCGTGGTGTCGTTGATTCGGGAGAAGAGGTCCTCGCACAGCTGCAGCAGACAAGGAGAGAAGGAGACATGGCTTCTTACATCCCCCATAATGCAGTCAGAGCCATGGGGGCGGGGGGCACCAGGGAAACAAGGATTCTTCCTTGTACCCCAGAAATGGGAGCAGCAGAAAGGCAGGCAGGCAAGCAGGAGGGGAGCCTGTTCTCTGTGCTCACTCACAACTATTCTGAGTGACTCTGAGCGACATGTAGAGTAAGTGGCACAGTCAAAGGCACTACCAGGACTGTGCATTTAAACTGCTTCAGCTCAGGGATGAATCAGACCTTCGTGGCCAGGTTAATGTGTGGGAGAACTCCCCTGCCTTGCATGGAGTCACAGCAGGGATCAGTCCGGCCAAAGCCTGCACTCGCTCACAGCCATTGGCTCTCGCAGGGCTGGACAGATGTATATAAGGACACAGTACAGTAACTCCTCGATTAACATTGTAGTTATGTTCCTGAAAAATGTGACTTTAAGCAAAACGATGTTAAGCGAATCCAATTTCCTCATAAGAATTAATGTAAATAGTGGGGGTTAGGTTCCAGGGAAATTTTTTTCACCAGATACACAGTGATGATGATTGTGAAGCTTGGTTGAGGTGGTGAAGTCAGACGGTGGGATATTTCCCAGGGAATGCCTTACTGCTAAATGATGAACTAGCAATCAGCTGAGCACTCAAGGGTTAACCCATTGTTGTTAATGTAGCCTCATACTCTACAAGGCAGCACGAATGGAGAGAGGGGAGACAGCATGGCAGACAGAGACAGAGACACACACCGTGTGTGAGAGAGATAGAGATGCGCATTGCCCCTTTAAGTATACTGACCCCACTCTAAGTACAGTGCCTTTTTAAGTAGATCAGCAAGTTGAGACAGAAGCTGCTGCCAGGAAGCTCCCCTCCATCCTGAGCCCTGTCGTGTCGTTCCCCCCCACTCTATGGAAATGAAGCAAGCGGAGTGCAGAAGCAGGGGGGAGAGGGACACCCTGACATTAGCCCCCCCTCTACTCCCACCCTGCACAGCATGCAGGAGGCACCGGGGAGCAGCTCCAAGGCAGAGGGCAGGCAGGAGCAGCACATGGCAGTGCAGGGAGGACAGCTGAACTCCCAGCAATTGACAGCCTGCTGGGCAGCTACCACACAGGGAACTTAGGGGAACGGGGAACTAATGTGGGGCTGCTGGTACACCCTGGTTCCAAGCTCCCACCAGCTAGCTCCAACGGGCTGCTCTTCCTGCAAGCAGTGGACAAGGCAGGTGGCTGCCAAACGACTTTATAAGGGAGCATTGCACAACTTTAAACAAGCATGTTCTCTAATTGATCAGCAACGTAACAACGAAACAATGTTAACCAGGACGACTTTAACTGAGGAGTTACTGTATGACTCAGTCATTCAGCCCAAAAGTTTCCCAGCCACTCAGGCATCTCTGCTTAGAGCCTCCACCTGCCTCACCTCTAGGTTCTGTGGACTGATGCTTTTACTGCCCCCTTCCCATTCATGGCAGGTCTGGGATCTCCCTTGCTCTGCCCTGACCCTTTCCAGGAGCCCTAAAGGTGACTCCCCAGATGTTTGGTGGCCTCCAAGCAGCTCGTGCCCTCTGCATTGATTCCCATCCCGGGCTCCTTGCTTCACATCCCCTCCCATCTGTAACTTTCCAGCTGCCCTGAGCGGCAGAGAATCCAGGAGAACAGGAGCCATTCTTCCTCCCAGCCCTGCCCTTTGTCAAGTTCCAGGCAGCCAGTTCTGTGTCAGTTTCCCATCTAGTTGGTAGCTCCTGTGCTCGCTGGTGCCACAGCCATGTTCACTCCTCAGTCCTTGCTGCCATCATCCTGCCCTCTCCCGGCCAGTAACTGCTCCTTGTCTCCTTACTGGCACTCAGCAGCTATCAGTGCCCCACATGCAGGGGGCAACAGCCTTTCACACCATGAGAACCATTCATCCACCCTGCCCTCCACTCCCCAGCAGCCTCCTTCTCCTTCCCGCCCTGCCCCGCCCCAGCTATGGGTACTTTTTGTTCACAGCCAGCAGCGTGCTCTCCCCGGCATGGTGATAGCCTCTGTTACCTGCGGGATGATGCCTTGCTGATCCTTCTCCTGCCTCCCCATCATGGTGTAGGATTTGCCAGCACCTGTCTGCCCATAGGCAAAGATACAGACGTTATAGCCCTCGAAGGCATGCTGCAACATTTCCTCCCCGATGTCCTGGTACACCTGCTTCTGAGATGCATAATTGATGTCTTCGGGCTGCGGGGAGGAGAAACCAGAGACAGAGGTCAGAAGAGAGGGAAGGTGTGAAAGAGAAAGTGGAAGGAAAGAAAACAAGAAAAATGGGAAACATCTGGGTCTCATTTTCTCTCATTTGCACTGGTTTTACCTGGGTGCAATTCCATTCACCCCAAAATTACTCCTGTCCCACCCTAGTGCAAGTCAGAGGAGAATCAGAGCGTACATTATTTTCTCATACTACTTGTTGCTGAGTCACTCATGTATCAAGACCAGACACACACTGGGGCATCCCTGGCAATGTTTCATCAACTGGGGAGGGGATCCTTTAACTTCCACGGCGTAGGGCCACCAAGGAAAACCTCTCAGCACCAGTCCCTTGCTGGCACTCCAATGCTGACACTGAGAGCTCTTGGCTTCCTGATCAAGGTACAAATAATGTGAATGGGGACGAAGGGGCTGTTCTGACGCTCTTAGGGAATTGCTGGACAAGACTCCACCTCCCTAAAATTGTGACACACCTGTCTGAGGATCTGAAAAGCTGCCCAGCTATGGGCTACCTCAGAGAGGGAGCTGCCAGCAGGCATTCTCCACAAGAACCCCTAGACTTTCCCATTCAGACCTCTTTGGCTCTCAAAGAGCCTGGGCACAGTGCAAAGCCCCATCTTTTTGGGCAGTGTTATGGGGCATCCACCCCACACTGGCCAGTAATAGAGCCCTAGGGAGGCTGTGTGAAAAGCAGCTAACGGGAAAGTGGCTGTGAGGAGCAGCCAATCAGGGCCCAGCAGGCCCCTACAAAAAGAGCCTCAGGGCAGAGCAGGGCTCAGTAGCTCCCTGAAGCTTGAGGAGGGTGTCTGGAATAGGCTATAACCCAATAGTATCCTGGACAGAGCAGTGCAGGTAGGAACCCAGGGAGAAGAGAAGGAGCTCTGGCAGGCTGCTGAGGCTAGAAAGGTCTGTGGCCATGGGGAAGTGGCCCAAGGAAATGCAGCGATAGCAGAGGCAAAGGAATGCAGTAAGTGACTGAAGTTCAGAGGGTCCCTAGGCTGGGACCTGGAGCAGTGGGCCCGGGTCCCCCCTACCACTCACCACCGGGGAAGGGGCAGGACAATTGAGGAGCTAAACCTCCCCTGGAAGGGGGGAACATAGATAGTGACATGGCAAGAGGGCTGAGCCATGAAGTGGATGCTGTGGTTCCAGAGGAGTTGCAGGTGGACTGTGGAGAAGGAGTGACAGGGTGCAGAAGGCAGACAGGAGTGTTGGCCTTGAGCTCATCCCTAAAGTGACTGGGGGAGGCGCCAGTCTGGCAGCAAGTGACAGGCAGGCATTTGGGAAGGGGTAAGATTTGTATTTGGGAGTTTAAGGTGGGGAAAATGGAAATTGCACTGCTGAGGGAAGCTGCTGCTTGACTAGCTGTGTTGGGTTGGATTGCACTGGTACCTATGCCTTGGGTGCCTCGAGCCTTTTCTGAGTTAGATGATTGAAATTGAAATAGATTGTTAAATAAGGGACTTGGCTCCAGCTGATGTGTCCTGGTAAAAAGTTTTCTCAGAAATGCTATCTGGTTTCTATCTCCAGTACAACCCATGACAGCGACAAGGCTGGAAGGAGTGAACACATTTGAGGCTCTTTAGTGCCCACTGAGCACAGGGGACACAGAGGAGCCAGGAACACAGCTGGGCAAATAATTGACAACAACTAGTCAGATTTCACAGCTAGTTGTGTGTGAATCATCTGGAAGCAGACTGTTACTATGTCTCAGGTTGGTCTGTTATGTGGAATTACTGAAACACTTGACATGAATTACTTTCAACCTGTAGATTGTTTGGGAGCATTTTTGTTGCAAGTAATGAAAATTCAAGCTGGGATGGGTCACCTATATTCCTACTTCATGCTGTGATTGGTCACCGTGTTTCTGCTCTCTGAGTGGAGGAATGGAATGGATAGATGCCAATTTCCTGGAAGCAATGCTCCTAGACAGCCAATAAAAAATGAGCTTTCAGCCACTAGTGAATACCCTTGCCAGTGAACTCCTTGGCTAAAGCGATTGTGGAAAGCAGGTGCACAAAGGGCACAAACACAGCTGAAGAACAATTAGTGAATGTATTCATAGCACAGGACTTTTCACTGCATTCCCTTGGCCCCAGCTGTGTGGCTGGGCTACACTGTCATGGGATTACCACAGATCGTTTTTCGTTTGTTTTTTGCTTAGATCAGCAGTTCTCGACCTTTTCCACCATGTGACCTGGGTCACAACAGAAAACAGTATCAGGATGTTGCTGCTACCCATAGTTCTGGGAACCTGCTCCCATCTAGCCATAATGAAAGGGCTTGTGTCCCTGCCCTTGGACCTGTTTGCAAACCCATGGCTTGGGTTCTTTCACAGTGGCTGGAAGGGGGAATGCATGAAAAGCGCGACCAGCTCTGGTGCGCCACCCAGTGGTTGATTTGGGACCAGATCAGCTGAGTCATCTCATAAGGAGGTGAACCCAAAAGCGTAATGGTCAAGCAGACTGCCCCCCTCTTCCACAGCTGGTAGCTCGTCTAGTCCTTATATCAAAACCTTTGGATCACTCCATCCCATCTAACCCCAGCTTTTTAACAAACTCCCCATTGCAAGAGGGCCTCAGGGCAGGGAAATCCACCTGGAACAGCAGGTTTCCACTTACCGTGGTGTGAGACCAATAGGAATAGTCAAAGCTGAAGCTTTTGGGCATCTCTTTGGGCTGCTTTGGGTTAACGATGGCTAGAAAGAAACAGATAGATACAAACATGCTGTAGAACGAGCCGTCAGCATTTGGCCACCCTCATTAGTAATCAAACCTTCCTGAAGACACCTGCCATAAAGAACTGAAAATGAACAGCACAGCAGGTCACGGAGATGGATCTTGCTCACCTCTAGATCACTGGCTTACACCAGCATTGGAAGGCTGCTGCTGCCATCTGATGGCTGGGTGTGGTTAAAAGAGTTGATGGTCTCAGTCCAGTTCTCAGTGTCCACACGACAAAACTGCCATCAAATCCCTTGTTGGCACTCTCCGCAGAGGGGGCAGGCACTGAACGGGCATGGAAACTGGACCACCTTTCCCCCTACAGATGGTCTCTACTAGCAAGGAGTGAGATGCAGGGGAAAGGCAGGCAAATAGACAGCCCAGTCTTCATCCGACTAGACTACATTACATGCTTGCCTCTTTTCCAAGGTAGGCATTCAGAAGGGAGGCAATAGAGGCTGCTGAGTCACAAGGAGAAAATGCCTGGGTGTTCTTGGCTGTCTAGTTTGTTTCAAGTGCAATAAGACTGGGGCTGGGAAGAGCTGGGATTTATTTTGATAGTAGGGAAATAATGAGGTAATCATATATAATCCAGTAATGGGGCATCATTTCAACCAGGAGTCCTGCTCAGGACAAGGTTTATTAATAGGTAATGGCTTCACTTAGCAAAGGCTTAGATGGTGGTATCTGCATCTCCAGCAGGCATGGGATCTTTCCCTGAAGCTGTGGCTGAGAAGAGGGGGTGGGGACTGGCTAGAGCCAGACCTCCATAAGCAGTCTGATGCAACTCCCGTGCAGGATGTCCACACCCTGCCAGTTGGACCGGGGAAAGTGCTGGCATATACTGGGCTGCAGATGCATGGAAATACAAATACTGCCTCCTGCTGTGAATTTCCAACAGGCAGCCCAGAAATGCCACAAAGAGCCCATGTAGCCTGGTCCCTCCAAATATGCCCAAACCCTTTATTCATCTTGTACTGCACAAAGGCCTGCAGATCACAGCAGCCACCTGGCTGACTAGAACTGCCTCCAGAGTCCGTAACAGCTGCTTATGAGCTGGCTGGAGCTGTGGCTGCAGAGCAATGCAAACATCAGCTGCGCCACTGGTGCTGGGCATGCTGCTGCAGAGCATTCCCTCCCACATGCCCCTGCCAGCCAATGGAGCAAGAAAACAACCCCGTGGCTCCTGGGTGGGTGGGTGGAGCACTATGGTCGCAGCAGCATGGAGAAGTCTAAAGGACACTGGTGTGATCTGGGCTCCTCAGAGTCACCCTACAGTGAAAGGATAGGAGCCCACCTTTAACCCTTTGCCATCAGCCACTACAGACTGAGCTTTGAGGCTGCCCTGCCCTTTCCTGCTGGAACCTCCGAGGCAGCAGTGAGAATTTTCCTCCAGGGCAGATTGGAAGAGGCCCTGGGGATTTTTCGCCTTCCTCTGTAGCATGGGCCACGGGTCACTTGCTGGAGGATTCTCTGCTCCTTGAAGTCTTTAAACCATGATTTGAGGACTTCAATAGCTCAGACAGGTGAGAGGTTTTTCGCAGGAGTGGGTGGGTGAGATTCTGTGGCTTGCGTTGTGCAGGAGGTCGGACTAGATGATCATAATGGTCCCTTCTGACCTTAGTATCTTATGAATACCGCTCCCTGCTCTCAGCCCGGGGGGGAGTTGTTCACCCCAGACCTGGATGTGACCCCCCAAGCTGTTAAACTTCATTAACCGATAGGAAAGGCAGAGTGGGGGAATGTATCCATCACCAGGGACAGCCATGGAGCCAGCTCTGCTGAGTCATCTGTCTGCCAGGGACAGTAAATCACATACCATCCTCAATGTAAACCAGCCATCCTTCCCTGCACACCATGCAGTGGCCACGACTCATCACCTTCTCAGCCTTCCTGCCCGGTTCTGGCTTCCCACAGCCCAGTAACCTGTCCTACCCATCGTGTGTGTCGCCAGTGCTATGATCACTCCTGCACATCACTTCGATGCAGCTAGCAGGGCGTCCCAGCTCCAGCAGCCGTAGGGGCCCCTTCCAGCTTCCAAACAACCAGCGAGGGGACCAAAGGACTATTGACACTTTCCTCCCTGGGACTGTCCCCATCGTGAACTGCAGGAAGGCACCGAAATCCAGGTCAGGCTGTTCACCTTCCTACCTTCACCCGGCATGCACCCCGAGGGAGTGGGCACTAACACAGTCCGTGCCAGATGCTGCTGCTTTACTCACACACGCTGTCCCGCTAACATCAGGCGACTACTCCAGACTACTCCAGGACTACTCAGACATTTCCATGGTTTGCATCACCATGGCATCCAAGCGCCTCCTGAGCCAGCACAAAGATCAAGGAATCGCTCTCCCCCACCCTGCCCCCAACAACAGGGGCTGGCCTTTATCTAATGATGCTGTGGGAATGCTGGTTGAAGTACGTGTTACAGATAGCTCCAAAGTCAGCATGATCCATGGCCATCCTGATCTCTCTGGGAAGTGAGCTTCATAGCCACATGGAGATTCCTGGCCTGCCCCTGAGAAAGGCCTGCTGTGTGTGCCCGTGGGATTTCCCTCTGGAGACTGGCAGGGCTATTGGCTGGACAGAGGGAGGCTGTCATGGAGGGTCATCATTACACAGGGTGGGGCAGTCCCCCAAGCCACTTTGCCCAGGGTCATGGAGGGCTCTCAAGAGGAGTTTGACTTGCTATTTAGTGGCAAACCATTGCAGAGAGGGTGGTGGAGTCCTGGAGCAAAGCCTGCGTCACTGAGTACACACGTGGCTGTGTTCCCAACTGGCTGCAGTTATTCTGAGGTCAGCCGTTGCATACCTAGGCATGGAGGACCCCAGTCACCAGGCTCAAAAGGTGTGACTGCATGGATCACCAAGGCCAGCTCTGCATCTGGCAGGAGGAGGAGGCAGAAGTCTCCCTGTCAGCTGCAGCTAGGGTAGGTTGGATTTTGCCGCTGTGGCATCCAGAAGCAAAGATGAATCCAGGTGGATACCCAGGCCACAGACTGACTTAGTGGTTATGGGGGGAGCGGGGTGCTTAAAAGTGCTCCCCCCTCAGTCAGCCCACGCTTCGGCTTCAGCCACCTGCTGAGCTCAGGCAGACCCCTGGGCAATGGTGATGTCAGTGTCTGATGCAGAGGGGATGCCCTGCTGGCAGTTTAGTCCACGCTGACTCCCACTCTCCCCTAGGGGCTACCTAGAGAGGCTGAACTGGGCAGGGGAGAGGATGGATCGTCATGGGACTCCACAACTGAGCTCTCCTACTGCCACCACTAGCAGGGCCCCGTGAGATTAACACAATTGTGTTGAACTGCAGGAAAAAAAGGAATCCACCTTCCCCTCCGCCCCCCCTCCCCCCGCGCCTGAAAAGGACTTTTCCATGGAAATCAGAAAATGCATCATTTCTTTTTCCATCCCCCCTCCCCACAACGTCTATTAGATATAAAGAATCACATGAGCTCGGAGAGACACGTCAGCAGCAAGCATGCACGAAACGACCACAAGATCAGTTACTCAGCAAGTTCAGGCGACTTTCAAATGACCTCCCAGAAGAAGCCGCCAGCACAGAGTAGGAGATACAGGCAGCTTGTGTGCCAAAAGAATCAGAGGGGTTCAGCTGGCTTCATTGTTTTAGAGAGGGTTGGCTCATCGGATCACAGAGCAAAAGGACAGGGAGGAGAAGGAGGGTACGCATGCTACACAAAGAGCCACAAAGGAAAGCGGTGACGACAGCCCTGATAAAGACGGGGGGAATGGGCAATGCAGAGGAGGCTGGATTGTGCCCATGGCACCCCCAGGAGCATTGAAGGGGGAGCACAGGTGCTGTGCCGGAGTCCCAGGGGAATTGCAGGGAGTCGTTCCTAGCCAGAGCACAGACCTAGCAGCTGCCCCAGGTTGTTGCAGAGGCGGGAAGAGGGACACCTCTGCACAGTCACCTTGCTCCAGTTCAGCCAGCCAGCACCCCACAAGCAACAGGCCTGTGTTCCAGACACACTGCAGCTAACTCCCTGAACAGAACACCTCCTTGCACCCTGCTCCCCAATTCTTGAGCTCCAGCAACAGCCTGCCCCATGGCAAACCACCACAAAGGTGACACCACACTGAAAACCCACTGGCTAATGCCAACAGTGTATCTGTCCTTCACCCACTCGCCATCGCCCTTGGGATCCAATAATCACTGAGATCATTCCAAAGTGCCCCGTATTTAGACCACTAGCTATTCAGTTTGGGTGGCCATGTCCCCTGCACACGGAAGACAGGCAGCTAGCAGCACATCCTGTGGTGCCCATATTCTTGACCTTGTGCCTCACCTCCTGCCTGGTCTCTAGCAGTGAAATCACACAGCACACTATTAGTCTGATCTGGAGAAGCACTCAATGCCCAGGACTCCCACTGACTTCACACATTAACCAAGACAAGTGTAATTTTAAGCCCTGTTCTGGGATGTGTATCTGACACCCAACAGGGGTTGTGCATGTTGAGTGCTTCCAGGATCAGACTTTAGGCTGGGATTTTCAAAGAAGATATTCACAGGGACTTAGGTGGCCAATTCCCATGGATCTGCATACCTAACTACCTTAGCCTCCTTTGTAAATCAAGCCCGATGTCTACAGGCTGGCAGTGCCTACTATTACTTATCCAGGTGTCAGTATCATAGAAGATTAGGGTTGGAAGAGACCTCAGGAGGCTATCTAGTCCAACCCGCTGCTCAGCCCCAACTAAATCATCCCAGCCAGGGCTTTGTCAAGCCAGGCCCTAAAAACCTCTAAGGATGGAGATTCCACCACTTTCCTAGGTAACCCATTCTAGAGCTTTACCACCCTCCTAGTGAAATAGTTTTTCCTAATATCCAACCTCCACCTCCACCACTGCAACTTGAGACCATTGCTCCTTGTTCTGTCATCTGCCACCACTGGGAACAGCCAAGCTCCATCCTCTTTGGAATCCCCCCCACCCTTCAGATAGTTAAAAGCTGCTATCA